GCAATGACAACTTAACCCTATCCCAGCCCTATCACTTAAATATACACTCGAGTAATGAACCTGCATGTAGGCTCCTATCTTTGTTAGGATTTTGTTTTTTGACAGCGTAGTCGTGATTGACACTTATGTATCCCTGATATTTCTTACCTTCGAGATATTTCATGTAAACCAGTATAATAATTTATTTAGGGACTGAAATACCTTCATATTTATTTATTTATTCCTTTTATTTAACGTCATTAGTGCATACGCACGCGAGAATGTTCATATAAGCGATGACAACTGTGCGAAGACGATACATAACCTCAATCGTATCCACTGTACTAAAGGAAAATATGTCACTTTAGGCTAAGAACGAATGTATTTTACCACGCTTTTCTCTTACCTTTGGTTAATGTCTACTCATACATTACAATTCTATGAGCTGTCAAGAAAGACGTGAAAAGCTTCGATCGTTAATTAATCTAGAAAGCTTCGAAAACAATGCGGATGTTCAAATCATTTCGTTTCAAACCGCATCACATCACGTTTGACAGTCAAGATAGTCGATCGCGATCTCACCTATCGGAGATTCACAGAAATAATTAATATCGACATAGGATAAAGGAATGATTTACTTCATTCACCTAATTGTTCATTTTTTATTCGGCATTCTAACATCAGTGGAGTCCAAGCGTGTACAATTGTGCCCCAGATATCGAATTCGAGGCTTTCTTTCCAAAATGTGTCGTTCAAATCATTCATTTTTGCTTTTATAATCAGATTTTAAAAACTATAGCATCGATATGCTGACAGCTACGAACTTTTATTCGCGAATAAACGACTCTCGAAATTTCCATTGTCTCCCTTGCCAGTAGTATTCTTGCAAAGTGAGCTCGCATCATGGCGGATTTTACGGATCATAATTTACGGAACTTCTTCATCTTTTCGAATTAGATGCATCTTTGCTCCACGATGCTTAGAAATGTAAAGTAGAGATGGGACAAATTTTATTCGAATAGTTAGTTATTAACATGTACAATTAACAGCAACTTTTTGCGTAAATTCCATTGAATGATTACTGACGCCTGTCGACTAATGCCAATAATTATTCTACCTTATAATTATTCTACCTTGAAACGTGTAAATTCAGTACGTTGAATTTACCAGTTTCAAAATGAAATGATTATTGACGCCAGCTATCAGTTTAGATGAAAATCATTTTTTTTTTTCTTGGAATTTTTTTTCTTGGAATTTTTTTGTATTCAATTTTTATTCTCATAAGCTTTCATTCGTTTAATGTCAAATATAATTTCATTTCATGAGGTAGAATACAATTTTTACTAGACATACAAAGGAGTAACAGCTATGTATCTCATTCGTTACTTGATAGAATCATCTAGATAAAAATTTTTCCCATCTCTGATGCGTAAGTAGTTCTTATTCTCATGGATATTACACACCTTCAAACCTGGAGTGTGTGCGAAATATGCTTCTGGGCTTTGCGAATGATAAAGTGCACCATGACCTACAGCGCCACAAGGTGTTCGAATGGTCAATTTACCACAGTCGAATTGTCCTCCACTTCGGTATCTTACCTTGGCTGCTTCGTTTACTAGCTAAGGATAAAGTAGGGTCAGTTATCGACTGTCTATAAACCAAAGTCGAATAGTACCATCTTACAGTTGCTAAATTACCGATCAATTCAACATTAGAGTCTTTAATACCACCTAGCGGTTCCACAATGAACTACTGTACTTAGAGTAATAACGCGGGTTATATACAGGGTGTCCCAAAAATGTTGTAACACCTTGAAAGGGGTGGTTTGGGGGGTGATTTGAAACAACTTTTTCCTTAGCGAAAATGTTGTCCGAGGCTTCGTTGAGGAAATATTAACGGAAAACACTGACCAATCAGAGTGCGCGGATACCGTTGGAGCGGCCGCGGTAGCAAAGGCTATATGCTAAGCGGTCGCGCTCGTACGCGAACAAGCGACTCGTCGCGTAACGAAGGACATTGGACGCGGCCGCCTAGCACGTAGCCTTCGCTACCGC